TTCTGGGAAGAATAGGCGGCGAGGTGGGGTTCGCCGGCAATCCAGTATAGGACACCTCGATCCCCCATCATCCCCCCCGTCCCGCCAAATTGGGGGGGGGAGAGATTTTGGCAAGCCGTAGGGGGAATTATGGAACAGGGATCCGCTGAAAAGGGAGACCCTCTAACCAAGGGAAATGGTTGAAGGCAGGAAGCCATGCCCGCCTTCCCCGGTGCAGTTCGAGAAGAAGCGGAGAGAGAGAGAGAGAGAGAGACGCCCCTATGATGTTGTAAGCCGCTTCAGGTCCCCTGAAAGGCGGCTTATAAATTAAAACCAATAAATAAAATGTTTGGTTTTATGGACCAGCCGGCAGATTCTGGCCGCCAAGCAGGAGAAAAGATAGAGAGAGGGGAGGGGTTGTGGGTTGAGGCCGGGCAGGAGGGAGACCGAAAGCCCCCACCGGATGGCAAAGCCTCGAAAGCCTGGCACCCCTTTTTCCTGAGCCCCCCCGATCCTTAGCCGACCATCCCGGAGACTTTCTGGTGGCCACATTTGGGGAGGGGGGGATTAGACGTCTATAGAGCCACAGACGAAAGGGAAAAAAAGAGGATAGGATGAAATCCTGGCCTCTCTCTTCCTCTTACCGTCGTTGTTAGGTAACCGGTGCATCCAAACACGAATTTCCTCCCCGGTCTTACTCAGGATATATTTCCCGGCGCGTCTGTATGTTTAAGGCACTTACCTGTGCTCATATATTATATATTCTATTTCTTTCTTTTTTTTAAAGCCCTGCTGGTCCCTAGGCGTGCGCAACGCGTCTGTACACGTCTGAGCTGTTAGGGGGATTCACACACACACAGAAAGAGAGAGAGAGAGTCACCCACGTCTGAGCTGTTAGGGGGATTTACACACACACAGAAAGAGAGAGAGAGAGACCGCGTGTGCTGTGTAAAATAGCACATTGGAAATTTAGCAAAACCCATTCAGGCCAGCACCTAAGAACCAGCTTGACTTCTGGCCAGGGGGGTGTTTTCTAAGACCATTTCCTCTGCTATTTGAAAGCGTGCGCCCCGAACATAGGTTTTTACCACTATCTATCTATCTATCTATCTATCTATCTATCTATCTATCTATCTATCTATCTATCTATCTATCTATCTATCTATCTATCTATCTATCTATCTATCTATCTATCTATCTATCTATCTATCATAATATTTACTGTAGAACAAGCCAGGTTTATAGGATATACCAAAGGTTAACTCGATGCATGATAGCAGCAAGGAGCAGGGAAGGGGGGTTTGCAGGAATCAAATGTAGGGACACGATCCAGCCCAGGGTGGAAAGGCTGCCAGGGGTTCTTGATTCCCCCCTCCGGGAGAGTTTGGGGGGACCCGGGCACAGTTGGGCAGGGGTGGGCCACCACCCCCAGGGCTCCGGATGGGAGGTCGCGGCCCCCTCTCCCTTTTTTGACGTCCGAGGCCTTGGTTTCCCCCCCCCCCCCAGGGCTCCGCCGGGTCTCTGCCGCCTCCAGGGACAGCTGCCTCCCCAGCCCTCCTCTCTCATCATCCTCTTTCTTTCCCCCCGTCCCCTTTGAGGATGATGCCCCCGAGTGAACAAAAAAAACAGGGTGCGGGGAGGGGGATTGGTTTCAGAGGAAGGAAATCCCGGCCGAGGGGCGACCCTCTTGAACCCCCGACTGGGGAATCCTGCTCTTTTCCCCCTGAAGCACGCGGGGGGGGGCACGCAGGGTCTCCAGAAGGCAAGGGCTCCGAAGGTTAGAGATATGCCACCCCCAGCCAGCAGCCGCCGGCTTTGGGTTACCT